GACCAAACACTAGTCCCTTTGAAGTCAGTGAAATCTGTTTGTTTCTGTGGGACCTGGATCTAGACCTTAGTGATGAAACACTTTGTTTTTGAATTTATTCGTTTGAAAGAGGATACTAGAGACTCATCCCTCTCTTTCTGTCATGAGATCTGAGAAATGTCAGAATTTCTTATATTGCATTCAGGTTGAGCAACCTAGTTTAGGCCCTTCTGAAGAGCTTTTGTGGTCCTAAAAGGACCGTGTCCTACAGTTTATCACAATCCAATGCTGTCGTAATGTACTAGGAAATCTAAGAAGGCTTCCATAGCCTAGGAATAACAATGATAATGATTAAGGTCTCGTTCTGTGCCCAGAGAGAGGGGGGGCAGCAAAGAGAGATGTTCAGGAGAGAATACCATTCAGCTCAGCTTTCTGTTGGACATCATTTAAAAAGCAAGTACCTCTGACGTGTGGGTACACACTTGTAATCTACCAGCACATCGTGGGCTGTGTCACGCCTCAGGCTGTGACACCGACAGCAGATCTCCCGGTAGATGCGTGCTCGTACGCAGGCACACAACCAGCCGAGGACAGAAAGAAACCAGCACATACAAGAGGTGATATGCCAGAAAGTCATGCCCAGATACTGAGCCACTATGACCTTTTTATTTGAAGAGATTTTTTGATAAACATTTGTAAATGTGTTGGGAGGGAAAACACCCCAAGTCTGATGCGTCTTTTTAGAGCTTGTCCATATGAAACCTTAGATGTCTTTTATATGAATTTATGCCATGAAAAGATCTCTGTTTTGATGAAGCACTTGACCCAATGAAATGAAAAGATGATTTTTGCCATGCACACAATGGATGAAGGCTGTGCTAGCTGGAAGAGGCCAGGTTTGGTGGGGGTTTCTTCGGTTTTCTTTTTAGAATCATTCCCTTTGCTGACTTTTGAAGTTCCAGTCCAGTAGTTAACCTAGTTAAGCTCAGCACGTCTCTCATGTTAATGTAACGTTTTGACTGCACGTCCTGTTCCCAAGGGCCTTGCCATCTTATCTGTGCAGGTGCTGTTAAGAGCTATTATAGCGAATGTTTTCTAATTTTCTCTGAGACGAGCATTCTAACCTGCACTTTTGAGGGCTTTGCTTTTTTTATTTTTGTCTTTTTAATGGCCAGGATTATTTTGTTTTCCAAGTTTTAAAAACCTTAATAGAGTCCTCACCTATGGCATCGTTTGAAACTTTGTATATCTTTAAGTAATTTAACTACCCCTCATTACTAAGAAAAAAAAAAAAGAGGAAAAAATGCTTTATAAAATTCATAACTTATTGCTGATTTGAATGGGTTGTTAATTTCAGTCCTTTAGATTTTATTTTATTGTTTTAGGTAGGGTTGGGCAAAAAAAGGTAAAATAAAATAAAAAATAAAGACAACCATATTTAGCAGTGCAGTGGAATTGTGTTTAAATGTTAGCATATGGTCCCCATTAAAGTAGCACTTTAACGCCATTAAACATTTCTGTATCTGAAATGAGTTGTGTTCTTCCATCTTGGTCATTCGTATCACTTTAGCTGACTCTTTGTTCGTCTTGTGCCCTTCGATGAGAAGATCCTGAGCAAGTCTGCTATAGAGTTTTGCGTTATAGTAAGTTGCCTGTGTTTAAATATTCTGTTTCCCCTGCTCTCCTCCAAAATGTGTCATCCCCCTGTAAGAGGTGCAGCACGCAATAATCTTTCCATGGCTGTAATGAAGGATTTCTGTTTGTTTTTTCTTAAATTTGCTTACTATGTCTGGATCAGGTTGCTGCTGTTAAATCTGTTTTCACTTATGCGTCTGTAATCCAGTGGCTTGGTACATCTGTTCTTCTTCCTTCTGGGAGGTGACCTGGCAGGAGCAGGAGTCTGCCATGGACTGAACTGAGCTCTGGGTTAACAAATGGGGCCCAAGGGTTTTCAAAGAAGGAACACTGCTTGGATTTATGTTTGGGGTCCATATAATCTCTGTATGACACAAGGTTTGGGACAGTCTCCTGAGTGGTGAAAAGTAGGAAACTTTAGCTCTAGCAAGGCCTGGTTTATTTATTCATTATTATTCTCCTTGAAAGTGTTGACCACTGGCAGCCCTGGTGCTGAGCAGTTGAATACCGGTGGGGTTTATTTATTTACGACCCTTTTTCTGCAGCTGTCCCAGCACCTCTTCCTTCCTGTTATTCCTGCTTGTTTTAAAGGGCCACTTGGGAAAGAAATGTTGCAGCTGAAAAATACTGAAGTTCGAGGGGTGGGGAATGGCTTTGCTCTCTGGGTTGGTATAAAACAGTGGCGTGTCTCTGGTTGGAATAAACATGTCTGAAATGTTTGCTTGTATGCTCCAGAGCCACTGTGGTACCTTTTTTAGCATTGTGGACTTGAAGGGGTCTTGATACCGAGTGCAAATACAACAGGGAAAATGCAGCAGAAGATGAGCTTCCATCACCAGCCACCTGCCTGATGGCTTGGCTAGCAGCAGCGGGCCAGCCAGGAAGAGGACCAGGAATAAAACAAAATTAAGAGCCTTTATAGTAACTGCTAAAGCCATGGGGTTGGTTGCTGTCGTGCTGGGGGATTCTTTGTGGCAGGTCTTAGCAGGTTTCAGCTTAGAGTTTGGATAGTTTTTTATGTGATGGAAACGTTTCTGTGACTTTTCGAGGCTGTCCTGCACTGCTTTGTTACTGCCGTGTGGACTCTGGCCTTCTCTGTGTGCTTGCACCTCACACGATCTGTCACGCTCCTTACATCTCCCTTCATCGGTGTTGAAATGTTCAAGATGACTAATTTGCTCAGAGAAGTTGCTGTAAGTTACTTCTGGATGACTGTACAGGCCAATTCATATGGTTATGCCAGACATCACTTAGTTGATCATAATGGTTCCTTCTGCTTAAAAATGTATCAGTCTCCTGAGCTGTCCCTGTTGTCGCAAGCCAAAATAGTCCTGTGTGCCGGATCTGCTTTAAGGTCATGCCACTTCTCAAAGTAGCACCAAAGTTTCTACTAGCCACCCTGAACTCTTGTAAAACAGAGCACGTACCCAGCGGTGCAGATCCAAACCCTTGAGGGTCAAGCCTCTCTTACCCTTTGGAAGCTGAGATGGTCCCTCATGCTACTGAACTCCAAGAGATCCAATAGAGCAAGTCAAATAACTTTTTTTTTCCCAGAAAAGTGGGCACAGAAACTTACTGTCTGTCTTTTCATTCACCCCAGAAGATAAAGACACTGATGGCATGGTGCTGTTTGGGTTCCCAACTCCAGTATTTTTTTAACGTACACCAGTGCGGGATTTAAGCTGCTTCTGAGGCCTTGTTTTACTCTTCTGCAAGTAGAGGGTGAAGTGAAATGATTCAGGTGCATGCCCACCATGTTAACTCTGGCTTCATCCAGAATAACACTTATCCTCGCCACGGGGGCATGGAATCACATTTCCCTTTCATCTTTGCAAAATTGTGCGAGGCTTTTTTTTATGGTTCGCTTTATGGGTGCTATTGGCTTTTTTTCTGCTTTATTTTTGTGTTTGTAGAAATCCTAAATGTATTCACTACTTAATTTTTACAAGAGTACGGTGACTTTTCCTGTGAAAACAGAATTGGATGCCCTTTCCTTAGGCAGCTTGCCCACGCGGTAGACCCACCTGGACGTGTGCGCACAGCTCCCCCGTAAGCTCATTCTGTCCAGTCCTCCCCCTGTAAACGAGATCCCCGATGGGAAAACCCATTAAAAAGGCCATCCAGCATTTTCCTTCTTTTGACACAAGCGTATTGCAGTGTGTCATCCCGTGTCTGCAGACAAGGTGGAGACGGCTGTCGGGCTGCATTTGTCACGGTTATCGAGTTGTCACTTGAAGGTCATTTTAATGTCCATTCCATTGGAGGCATGGCAGTGACAAAGGTGGTCTCAGATCCATCTGTCTCGAGATATCTGTAGGTCAGTAGGAGTGGGGTTAACTAGACAGACCTGTTGTTTTCCAGGTTTTGTGGCTGTGTTTTCCTTTTGTTTGTCTGCTGCCATCTGTTGCTGGACACTGAGCTCCATCCGCCTGCTTTTCTGCTCTTTCTTCTCTTGTACTTGCTGCTCCTGGTTTGTAGCCTGTGCTTCTGTGTCGCCCTGTTGAAATGGATGAAACATTGGGATTCAGTGGAAGTGGGATCAGTAGTGTGCACTCATGGAGAGAGTCTCCCCCCCCATCCCGCCCCGGATCATAAACTTCTGTTGTTGCAGATTTTTCTGGCACCAGCTATACGTCATTGGAAAGAGAAACTGGGGTCGCTTCCTGGAAGATAACGGTAAAAAACAGGGCTTCATTCTGAGGTTAGGGAGGTGATAGTATCAGTAATGAAAAAGAAGTCCATAAATTACAGAATGAAGTCTGATGTTTTTTCCCGGGGCGTTGTCCTGTGGACAGATTCTCTGGTGAGTGATAAATTCTGTGACCCGATAGTGACTGAAACTCCTCTGCATCCGCCATAGTCTCCGAATTGTCCTGTGGGACCCTCGGGGAAGAGGAGTGTGTCCTTCTTCCTCTCTGTTCACCAGTCTGCAGAAAATACCTAGAAAATACTGATGCGCTGTCAAATCTGCTTGAAATTGGCCCACAGATCTGAGTGGTGTTTGGGAGGACGAACACGAAGCAGTGCGGCTGCCTGCATGCCCAGTGTTTTCCTTCGGAGCGACCTCTTGCAGAAAGGCAGGTTGTTTAATTGGGGATGATGCATCAGCACTGACCCCTGCTGCTCTGCTCGTTTCCTCCTGAAGAGAGGACTGATCCCTTCAATTATTAGGTAGAAGCAGAGACGAGGCGTCTCTGGGTATCGGTACTAAATGGGTCGTATTTAGGGTTTCTGTCTGGGGTGTTGCTGTGTTGGACTAAAACGAAAGCCACGTCTCGCAGGGTGGTTTGTTTTTACCACACCAGAAGAAATCAGCCCCTTAGTTTGTAGTACCCTGAGGAGGCCCAGAGCAAGCTGGTGGTGTGAGCTGGTTAATTTGGCCTTCAACAAGTCATTCAGCATCTTGGCTTGTAGGCTGCTGCGCCGCAACCATGCGCCGCAGCTTCAGTTTAATGCAGCGTTTGCTCAGAGGGAATGAAGCGCTGCACAGGACTGACCTGGGTCTTCAGCCAGTCGAGGGAAGGCAGCCAGCTCCTGCACGTTCCTGAGGAGCACGGGGTGGCCCCGGCCAGCGCTCTTAAGGCCACGAAGGGTATTCACCTACTGGGAATGTGGTGGTTCAGAGGAATTGGCAGAGAAGAACGATGAGTTGGTGGCTCTGAGCACCAGTGACAATGCTGAGCACTAGTGACGATGCTAATCTCACCTCAGGGAATGCTCCTAGGTTGGGGTTTGGTGCAGTGGGGTCCTCTGGGCTGTTCCGTCACACAGATCTGACTGCAGCCTATGTGGGGCTGGAGGACACTGGCATTTCTTGTTGCCTTCCAGCAAGCAATAGCTTTAGTGTCCCTTTGCCACGAGGCAATAGTTACAGGGGTGGTCTGAGAGAAGACGGATGTAGCGTTCATCTGTTCTTCCCCCCCGTGATTCCCACTGAAAGAAGCGCTAGTGAGCCAGAAAGGCGCTCCGTGCACGTGCAGTCAGCTTCGGGCCAAATTCACCCCTTCTGTAAGGTCTCATTGCGGTCATGAGCGTTGCCGCAGGGCTGCGTTTCAACAAGGATTAATTTTGATCTTGAGGGATGTTGCAGCCAAGCAGGATAAACCATCAAAGGAATTTAAAGTGTTTTATGGTGGGTTTAACATTGTGGTTGCCAGTCAGAGCATACGCAGACCTAGTTCATAACTTGACTTGGGCTACCACTGCTCTGTTTGGCTATGGCTAGGAAATTCTTTCCACTTAACCCCTTTTCAAAAATACTTGTCTCAAAACAATGAATTGTTTTGGATCTCCTCCTGGCAGGCTTGATGGGGAAATACAAAAGCTCTTTCCTCTCCTGGACTGGTGGACAACTGTACAAAAAGGCACTCGTGGTCCTAGGGAATACCGGGTTTAGCAGGTCTGCTAAAAACATGAGGTTTAAAACTTCGCATCACTTGCATTCCTCACGGAGAGCTTCTCGTTGGGAAGTAACATCGCCTTTCAGCCTAGGTGAGAGCAAGACATCTTCTGCCAGCATCCGTCGTGGGAAGGCTCTGCACTTCCGTACAGACCAGGGGATGGCTGCAAGGTGAGGCCAGCATAGAAGGGTGATTGCATTACAAGGGGAAATAATGTGAGTGCGTTTGTGTAGCAGAGCCTTCGGCTCAGCTCGGAGGTTTTGGTGTGTCAGGGAGGTTGCTGGATCAGGTCAGACGTTAATGGGGTGCAGGTGGCATGGATGTCTACCATAATCCTGACGCAAGCATCCCTCCTTACTTTGCAAGTTTGGTAAGCGAAGCTTTTAAGAGCTCAGATAATATTGCAGAAATGGCATTGCAGAGAGCAGCACCAGCTGCAAGGTAGTGATACTTCTCTTGGGCCTGGCTCAGGAACGTTTTCTGTAATCCCAGGTTTAGTCTTAACTGTTGTGAGACATGGGAGTGGTGGTTGCAGCACAAAATATTCGCACCATGCCAACTTGGGTGCGTGGAAGAACATCCAGGGGAAGTACCCAAGTCTGCTATTGGTTTTGCCTTTTAAATATCTCCGGTGTTGAATTGGAGTCTTCTAAGTTGTTCCTTTTTTGTGCTTGGAAACCTCTGAGAGCAGGCCTCTATGGAAATAAGTGAAACAACACTCCTGCTCTGGCATAGGGGAAAGCGAGAGAGAAATGGATTGCCATCACCATGAAACTTTAAAAAGTTGCTACTCTTAAGGCTGTTCTAAATACTTAACCAGACTGACGCAGTCCGAGCTTGGAAACCTCTCTTCTGCCAGTTTAATTTCTGCCAGTTTAATTTCCCCAACCAATTAAGATTTGTTCGAGGTGGAGGCTGTACTAGATAAACCATTTCCTGCAGTACCTTGCTTATAGGGGGAATCGTGTAGCCCGTACCGGTCATCTTGTGCAGGAGCCTCATCTGAAAGGCACAAACCCGCGGCGCTGACAAGTGTCTCTTTTCCACAATGTCTCCAGCTTAGTGGCTCTGCACTCTTTACTTTTACACTTTTAACTTCCCCTCTGTCATGTCACTATTTCTAAGTAAGTACTGTCTGCTTTATGGCAGGGTTTCCTCGCGCTGGGGTAGATGGCTCTTCTGCTTGCTGAGAGGCCCAGAAGACAACGCAGAGCATGAGTTCTGAAAATCAGGTTTCTTATTGTTTAGGGTAGCTAAGAAAACTGGGAAGTAATTAAAAAAACCAAACACACAAGAACCACCCCACCACTTTCACCCACTACAGTGTTTGTAAATAAAGAATGGTAAAGATGTTTTAGCAATTACCAGCATAGCTTACTCACAATTTATTTTTCTCTGAATTTCTCAAGAGGCTTTATTAAGGCTGTGTTCCGAAGCCAGACTACACCTGAACAGACCCCGTCCTGCAGGGGAGGAAGCAGCATCAAAAAATGGCTGTGTGGTTGAGGTGGCAGTTTTGGCGGGGGGTGTGTGTTTATCCAAGTAGTCTTCTGCCTGCCCTGGCCTCTGTTGCTGTAGGGGTACCACTGTCACCAGCTGCCCCACGCGTGGCAGCAAAGGAAAAAAGCCCCTGGAAGGTTTCTCCCAGCAGCATTTCCTCGGGGCGCCCAGCAGAAGCGTTAGGGCCAGGTTCCCCAGGCAGCCCAGAGTGCAAGAGGTGACAAATAACTTGTGCAAAGGAAACGGTGCCTTTCGCTTTATTGCCTCTATGTATTAGCTTTGCTAATTTTTTTTTTTTTTTTTTTTTTTTTTTTTTTAAAAGGCTCAGCAGCCATGAGACAGCTAGCTCTGTTGCTGCAAGGGAGGGTCTCACACCCGGTGCATTCTGATGACTCAAGTGCTAAGGTCTCTTCAGAACTAGTGAACAAACAGTCCTGGGATAGATCATTTACTATATTTATTACATCAAAAAAGATGAGCAAAGCAAAATGCATGCCAGGTATGGTTTAAGTGTCTCTCCCCCTCCCCACCCAAGCCTTGAAGATGTTTGATCGGGTGGAGTTAGGGAAAGGCTCATGGGGCTTCCTGAAAACTCCAGTTCTGCCTTGGCGCGTTTGCTCTGCCAAGTGTTCTGCTCCTTTGGGCTATGGAGGGTGATGTGTGTGACACCTCTGTGTCACAGCCCCCTGCAACAGACACCAGGTGACCTTTCTCAGCCGTTAGCTGTCAGCACGGCAGGAGTATCAACCCATTTGCTGTCACTGCTGAGATGCATCCCCCTGCAGCACAAACTCCCTTCCTCAAGGCAGTGAGGTCTTCCATCAGGTTATCTTATGGTAAATTAGAGGGTTTTTTCTATGCAAAAGAAAATTTACCCTGCCTGCTGCCCGTGAAGATGAGGAATTGGGGCCCATTTGCTTCATTGCGCAGGGGGTGTGACGGATGTTTGTTTCACTTAGGTGTGCCACTATAGTCTCCCCTTTCCTGATCATTTACTGCCCCCCCATGTATACTTTGTCAAATATATCCAGCAGATTTTAAACACTTTATTTAATAAAAGTTAAACATACAAAACTGAAATTAACACACTTTGTATTCATAAAAATCACCTTCTCCCATTATAGGGAGAACCTTTTTCTATGTATGGATTCTAAACTACCAGTTGTAGAGTTTAGCTTGAGCTGTGACTCAGGTAACTGATGGAGAGTTCCACCAATCAGTGCATCAACAATTGCTGACGTGACCTGATCTAGGTAACAAATTACAAAATGAGCTACATTAACATAATATACAGGGAAATAACGGTCAGGGTCAATGGACAAGAAACACCCTTTAATTATTTAAGGGGGGGAAACAGCTGATGTACCCTTGTCCATTAACACGGCCCTAGATTTTACAAAAATAATATCTACATTGTATACAGGGCTACCCATTAACTTCTTGAACACATTAGGGATTCAGAGATGGCACCACTACCGTTAAGTGAGAGACAAGTAACAGAAGAAAGCAAATCACGTACGAAATACAAGAAAGCAAGAGCTTTTACACGTGGTTTCCTGAACAAAATCGAAGGGGCTCAGCGGCACTGTAATACAGCTGGACTGACGATGAACAGTGGGGCCGGCCACTTATTTAAGGACAGAAATTTCCGCCAGCTCCTGCTGGTCACAGCTGCCTGCAGGGGCTCCAGGCACTCGCTGCCGCGCTGCTCTGCGGGCTGGAGGCTGCCCTGGCACAAGCTGTGCCCGCACCTTCCAGGGCTGTGACCCTGCCATCAAACCTGCAAGATCTACAAGAGGGGGAAGCACAACCCTTTGCGTTCTCCAACGCTCAGGTCCCTGGGGAGGGGCAGGGTGGGTATTTTTAAGAACAGTTCTTTACTTTGAAACTGGAGTCTAAATACCTCATCCTGTGGCTTTCTGGATACATTTCAATAACCTCCCATTAAAATTCAATGAGTATTTAAAGAAAAAGAAAAAATCTCCTCTGCTTTAGTTCTAGTGCAGGAAATTCAGACTGGAATTAAAGTCAGATTTATTGTTCCTAGAACATGAATCATCATTAGTGATAGAGATCCTGTCGGCCCTGTTCTGCCCTCATTTACAGCTGTACAAATCGATCTTCGGTGGATTTGTAAGGGAGTGATTTAGAACTTCCTTAGCAACTCCATGTGACGTACAAGCTACGGTGGAGTCCAGCTCTCTCTCCCAGAGCTGCAGCGGCTGCTCTGCTGGACAGCGCTGTGACTACAGAAACAAGGGAGGCTGTTAAGGTGCCACTTTTATACCACCACTTTCCTTAAGGGGGAAAAAACAACTCAACCCTTCACTACTGGTATGAACAGAATATTCCAGAGATCAAAGCTGCAGATAACTACTGCTTTCAGAGTAACAGGTAACAGCAGTTCATGAAAGCATTTACCTGCAGAATGTATTTTAATGCAACTACGAAAAGTTTAATGATTAGGGGGGGGTCAAATCAATAGCTGGAATTTAAGGCTCGTATCAGCTGAAGCCAAAGTGATGGTGACAAAATGGACTACTCGCTATGTGCCAACAAATAATTTACTTTTAGAAAAATATAATGATAAAAAGATAAGTGTAAAGCCCTGCAGAGATGAAGTTCCACCTTTTTCCCCTGTTACTGAGGCATCAAATGCCTGACATTATATTTAGAGGTATCTTGATACTGTGTCATAGGTTTGTCTGCAATTCCACATGTTCCAACTCCAACCTTGCCAGTTACGCTCTCAGGGGAAGCAAAAATACTCCTCTTTACCTGCAAATGAAACAGAAAACACCATTCCTGAAGAATTACTAACTTGCTCTTAAAAAAACCCCAACAACCAAGCAATCATCATTACCATTTGAAGCATTTCAATATCCCCAACCTCTCACTCTACAGACCCTCTCTAAAGGCTGGCTGGTCTGTGGCACATTATCAGCAGTGAGACAACAGAGCACCAAAGTCCTGGACGTGATGGTGGTACTTGGGACCCTGGGTCAAGCCACTAACGAGTAAAATTCACCTCTCTCATAAGATGGATCTCTAACAGTTGTTCATAAGGAAGACTGAAGTTTTACCGCTATGTCTGGCAGCTCTTGGTCAAGGCATGATAAAAACAAAGTAAGGCATTAAAACGCCCTCACAAACTTTTATGCACCATGCTTACTATAACAGGGCAGTTAGTGCTGTGCCTGCCAGGTCATAAACACAGCAGTCAGGCTTGGGGGTTTAGACAGACCCTCAGTTCTAAGCTCCAGCAAACACTACCTGGCAACTGGCAGCTCTCCAAGTGAAGTGCAAGCTCAGCCTCTTAAGAGCAGCACTCCTCCAAAGCCATCCCATACAAACCCAAGCCTTTTTAGTGTACAAAATACCAAACTGCACACTCCAGAATCCCAAAGACGAACCCCCTTTAAAAACTGACTTCCTCCTTTCTCCCAAAGTACTGCACAGAATTCTGCACCCTGTTGTTGTTCACATACTGACAAAACCAAACCAACCTGGCCTTTTTTGTTTTTAGAATAGGCTCTGTTGTTAAACTGTTGCCACTTGACTTTCTGGTCCTCTCGTTCTTGTTCAAGTTCTTTAATTCTCTGGGCTTTTTTCAAAGCTTTCTTCTTTTTATACTCTCGTTGCTGGGCTATCATCTCTTTTCTGGAGAGAAGGAAAAAAGACATTTTACGTTTGTGCCTTTTCCTGTAAGAAACTAAAACCCCTGAAAGACAGACATGCATAATACTTTTCTGTAAGTAAATGACAGAAAATAAAGTTTGAAAATATTCTCCACTTCTAGAAAAAAACCCAAACAAACAAGTCTTTCCATGCATAAGCATTACATCGCTTATTTATGTATTTGGGCACAAGAACAACCACCACCACCACCACCTAAGACCATGCCAAACACAAAAAACCATGGGATTGAGTGAAGTTCATTTCTGAAACTGAAAATGTACCCATCACCTCTCCTGCATTTCAGAAACATCTAGGGTTTGGAAAACATATATAGCCCATGCGAGTGAAAAGCCCAAACTTTTCTGGAGACCTGCAGGACTCTCTTGCTACCAAGTATTGGACAGGGATAGAAGGGAAAGAACAAAGATAGGTTACTTCAGTAAAGATCAGTAAGTTCAAGGAGTCCATCTGCGCCACAGTGCAGTGCCCCTCAGAACGATCCCTTAGGGAAGGGATCATTGCCTATAACAAAGTCCGCAATCGTACCACTTTTTTTCTTCCCCCACAAAAAAAAAAAAAGTTTTCAGCCCTTAAAAATACCTTCCTATGTTAGACAGAGTTGGACACGGAGTAAAGCACATTTCCTCAGCAATGGGGTCGGCACAAGTGTGCTAACTCAGGGATGGGGCAGAGGCAGAAGTCCTTCGTACTGGTAAGTAACTGTGTGAGCCAGGTCACACATCTGAGTAGAGCCTGCAGTAGATCTGGGGTGAAACTTGGACGCTCTCTGCTGTCGATGAAAGTGTACTAACTTTTTTTTTAATCTGCTGCTTACATACTTGATATCTTGAGATAACATAATCTGAGTAAAACAAAGTCTATCGTGTTATCTTGCCAGGAGACATAATGCACATGATACCAGCCACAATAACCTACCAAACGTTATATGCCAGACTGTCTTTTTTTTGTTGTTGTTTTTTAAATTTTACGTATCTTTAATATCTTCACATGTTTGCTGGAAAAAGGATCTTAAATCAGAATCTATTTAATTAACCAATTTTTATAGCTGGGGGGAAAAAAAAAACAACACAAAACAAAACAAAGCTGCTTTCAGACTTCTGCCTGTGCGTTACTTACTTGGACATGGGTTTGTTGCCGCTGTCCTCTTTTGCTTTTCTTCCCTCTTCCACAGGCTTGAGGTTGAACAGAGGTGTAACTTCAGCATTGCCATATCCAGCAAAAGTGACTGCAGCTGTTCCATTCTCCTCATCTATTTCTTCAATCTCAGCTTCATAACACCTGTAAAGATATCATGGCTGTAAGCATGTGAGTAAAGCTTTAATACTCAGCCCTTCAACACCTACACTGTCAGCCAGCTAATGGCATTAAGCAAAAAATTTGCAAATATCCGCCTTCATTTTCAGGGACAACACATAAATCAAACCAAGATTATTTTCTGAAGGTCAAAGGGACACAAGTACAAAGACTGGAATCTGCTGTACTTGACCTTTAGCATCAAGAAGCAATGGCCTCACAGTTATCCTAACTAATGATTAATGCTGGGGCCAATCTAATCAGATATCCTGATTTGGTTCTGGTAGGTCATAGGATTGGAGAAAAAAAAAAAAAAAAAAAAGACCCAACAAAATACTGCACTCACAGAACACAGCTTTCAGGGAATTCACTAAGGAATTTTGAAAAATGTCAGCCCACAAGAGCAAAGCTTTGGTTCAGTTTTCCTCCGTATGAAAAAGAATTAAGAAAAACTGAAGCTTTCAAAATATTCCCCCTTCAATATGCACAAAGTTTAAAGTTTTCTTACGATTTAAAATAGCAATTTTGAAATTTTAGCAGAAATTTGTCCATTTCATATTTATGGATATGAAACATTTTGGTCAACCAAATTGACCTCATAATGGGAAAGAGGAAAAAGAACAAGTGACATTTCCAAAAATACTTAAAAAAATTGAGTCTCAATTCAGAGCAAAACGATACATCTAAAGCAAACAGAGGAATAAAATTAGATGTTTCCTAGAAAATATTCCAGTTAACATTTACTAAATTAATTTCTTCTGCAATTTTAGTGGACCAACTTCATCTTGAATTGAGCTAGATGAAAATACATGGAAACCCAAACTGCATGAGGTAAAAAATATTAATCTCTGGCTAGCTCTTCATGAGATACTGGTCACTTAAATAAATGTTGTAACAGAAGAAGGGGGTTAAAAAAAAAAAAAAAAAAAAAAAGTAATACAATTAAAGTCCAGCAAGGTCCACTTCAGTGGACACTCTGGCACATTCTTCCCCAAGCTCTGATCCTCCAACCCAGTGATCAGAGCAAGAAGAATGACCCAACGGTGACTTAAAGTAAGACTCAATTTTTAAGTTATTACACAAAAGCATTTTACTCATTAACAATCTGCGACAGAAAAACTGTTCTACCTAAGACATCAACAGCTACACCAGAATCTCTGGGTTGTTAACAGAACCGCATTCCTTGAACAATAGAGCACGTAAGTGGCAATGATTGGGATTCTAGTCCTGCATAAACAGTAATTTTTAAAAAGCTGCAACAGTTATACGTTTTGCAGTACGGAACATAATTTTACAATGTTTATTTCAAAGATTATGAAGTCAGAATGAACTGCTTGGGTTCCCAGAACTTCACAGGCTAATGTAATGGAGACTAAATCCAAAAGGTTCACTAAGTCTATAGTTACTTTACGCAGCTATTTATGTCATAGCCAAGGAACAGCATTTCCAATTAAGAATCAATTTCCAATTAGTGGCACAAACTGAGATACAGCAAGGATTTTTCTTAATAGCAATCAATTACATATGTATGAATGCAATGACAAATTATGATTTATAGGTCCTGGAACCTTTACGAAAGGCTGCTCTGACAGGTCAATTCATGAAAGTCTGCCATTTATTACATTAGTAAATGGTAATTTACCAAAGCTCCCCTACTTTTATAAGGTTAGTGACAAACAGGGCATTTCTAGAAAATGACCCCACATCTCTCTGCTTTTTATCTAAAATACTGACCTTTATTAAAGAGCGTACAAGAATACCTAATATCTCATTTTTCTTTTTTGCTTTTAGTCACCCTGGGGGCAGTTCAAACTGAATGAAAGTCTCTTACCATTGAACTATTTCATGTAACTGTTAGAGAAGTTTTCTACACTTACTGTCCATCCTCACTCCATATCGCCATACACCTATCCCCAACCTTCCAGGAGTGACTGGGCAGAGCAGAAGCAGAACTGTCAGAACTTGCAAGAGTTTCTGAAGGTTGTGTTGAAAGGAGGTCTTTGGTTAATTCTATGACTTCCTACAAAAGACAAAAAACCCACAAAGAACAATTTTTCAAACTCTGTTACCATGCATATTTTTACCCCAAGCTTACTGGTTTGGGGTTTTTTTGAATTTACTGTATTAAATTCACAGCTGCTGTAAAGTTCACTTTGGTTTTTTCAATCATTTAACTAAACTCACTCATTGCCAATGTAGATAAAAAGATGTATGGTCCTCACCATATTGCAGTAAAGTTGCCCATGCCCTCCTCAAAATTTCAAGTAGCCACCTATTATTTTTATAGTATTTCTTTCTAGATTAATTGTTTATCCATAGGCACAAAGACACAGCTAGACAGTCTCAGGAAAAGAAAAAACAAAACAAAACAAAAAAATCAAGTGTGACTCTCTACAAATGGCTGCATGTTATGTTGGTTATTGATCAAAACCAAAGAAAATCAAACATGAGCATCACTTCTGTTCTCTCTGCAGCTGGCAGTTTCTTTCATTCCTTCCCATTTGGGACTGGCTGGCTATATTACATGTAGTAATCTATAAAACACACAACAACTACAAGCATAAGTACAGCATTTCTAAGCGATGAAACATTTTTCAGCTTACTCAAACTTACGTGGATTGGCTGAACTGAAGCACCCAGAGCCAGGGTGGAAGAGTGCCCTCCCAGACTGCCACTCTGTAAAGACCCCTCTTTTATAGAAAACACTCAGGGTCATCATAAAGAAACTGATTTCCTTAAGTCATTTAAGTGTTTGTTTTTCTCTAAACTCCCCGACGTCAAGATTTCAGGTCAGGCCTTCCCCTTGCTAATCCAACAAGGCAAATAACAAAATAACAATTTCTTCCAGTTCCTTTAAATAATATTCATTCACGGACAGGAGCATGCAAACACCCCTTCCCAGCTTCCTGTCAATGTTACATTCTTACTCTGCGCAGTCAAGACCACTGGCTCTCACTAGTGTTAAAGTCAGAGGAGCCAGCACCAAAAAGGCCATTGAAACTTTCTGTATAAGACAACGCAACTCTGCGGTGCTTGAAGAAAAATTCTTCAGTTCTTTGAGTATCTCAGCATGAACCCTTGTCACTCTCCTAATTAAGAGTAAATATTTAAATTAGGAGAGGGTTACAGATAAACAACGTGCAACTGAGGCTCAGTGGAGCATGAACTTTCCTCCCAGATTCACATCCTAGTTCAGCTATGAGTGTCTAAAGACTAGCTCAGGAAAAAGTGGTAAAGAAGCTGGTCTTCATTCCTCAAGAACCTAAAGGACCATAATCAGTTCCCAAATAAGAAGTTAATACAATATGAACTTACAGGCATTTTTATCTGATAAACTATACAACTGGCATGAATGGCCTAACAGTTTATTTCTGTTGCAGCTGTTTAATGTCTGAATTTCCAACACCTTCCTAACAAAAGTTCTGCTCTTCATTTTAGAGAGGCTGCTAGTTAATAAGTGCAACAGTAAGCACAATCAGTAGCAACCGTAAGCACAGAAACATGTTTACAATTACTTCTACTACTTTGGTCTCCATTTTCCGTAATACTACAGTTGAACCAGAACAGATTTTCATTTATCAAGTTAGTTGCCTAACTTGAGTGCGCTCTGCAGAACATACAGCGTTAGCCTAATTTTCCCTCCCAGATGCAAAATCCCAAACTATACCTCAACATACAGACAGTTATATTCTGCAAATTCAAGAGGCATCACAGTTTGCACTGGGTATCTTGGCGGGTCAAACACAATACGAGGCAAAAGCTACCTGAAAGTGAGTATTTCAGCTACGGGGACTACCAGTAACACAAAAGTGCTGACTTGCTCTTGCCACGTTTGTAGTTGGTTTATTGTAGAACTCAGATGTGAGTAGTTTCAGACAAGTCTACCAAGGACTTTTTGAATTCCATAGAAGCCACTTACACACCAGGCTAGTAAAAATCTGCATCTGATATCCACGTATCACAATGCTAAGCACACAAGACAGAAACATTAATTTTATTGCCACCCATGAGGCAGTTCTCAAGTCTTTAACAGAATAGCTCATTCAAAGAAAACTTCTGAGCACGAGTTCGACTACCACAGCAGCTCAACATGGCCAAATGGGTTGAAAATTGTTGCTTGCTGCCACATCCCCATGACATGTAGGTGTGACCCCCAGCGAATACTAGTGAGAGTTTGCCAAGATTTTTCCTGACCAACTGGTCTTTACAAAGCCAGGGAGAGATCTACAGTCCAGAACGCGCAGATATCATCTCCCATGACAGGAGGTGACAGCTGCCATCAATTCCACTTGATACAAAAGGTGGGTGCACAGACACTGTCCTAGAAGTGCTTGATGAAACAGGAGGTGAAAAGCAAAGTATTTATAAAAAATTCTTGTGATATTTATTTTAATCTTATTACTCAGGAATAAGCTGAGTACACGAAATGCAGTAGTGCATCACTACTTATGCTAGAAAAAATGTTTTCAGTTACATTGTAACAATCTTCCTGAACTAATCTGAAAGCTATTTAGTTGGGACACCAAAGCATCAAACTTATTCTACAACTGTTAGGTTGGCATATATTAATGCTGCAAAACATTATGTCATTTTCAAGGTGGAACATATGGATAGCAAACCTTTTGGGGACGAGAGTGTAAAGATCTTCCCCATTCTGTGCAGAAAGCTTTTATAAAAAAGTTTTCAAGTTGTCCTTTCACATCAATGATCTCTGCATATCAAAGCCGAGGTCGTGTTGGTATCGGAAATATCATCCCATATGGGTTTTGCTGTGCATTTTAAAAATATAAAAATATACACATGCTTTTAACAGTGTACAATAAAGGACATTAAGATGATCTATAAAGTGCCTTGTGGGCACAAAGCCTTGGTAATTTAAAAGGAATTCTAAAGATCACTGATTTGAGGCACTACTCATATTTTGGTTGAAGCATCACTTTTATTTGCTGTTATTTCCACACAGAATAGTGGTTACCAAATCTTGTACTGGGTAGTTTTATATATTTTTAGATCTGATGGCTAAAGCAATCCACAACAGAAATGAAGCAGCATCTTGCACTCTCATGACAAATTTTAACAGTACTGCTGGGTTTTTTTATACGCCAATGTGTCTTTATAGGCACAAGAATCTAAAAGACCACTTATCAACTTAAAACTAGGTTAGTGGTCTTCCTGTCACCAAACAACACCCTAAGGACCAGAAATGTTTTTTACCTCTTAAGAATGGGGTATGCTCTCAAATGTTTAAAAAACTGCAGGTGGCAAATTAAGAACACTACTCTTTTCCTTTCTTTTACAAAAAGCTTAACACAACCAAGACTTAGATGTGCAAGGAATGCAGAACTGCACTCCTAAGCTTTTACCATTGCAAATGCATGCAATGAATAAACAGATTCTGGATCAAATTATCTGACAACTCAAAAGTAAGCAGAAAGGCATAATGTTAAGCCTAACCATCAGGCTTCAGCATGATAAAAGCCACAAAAAAAAAAATTGCTTTCTGAGGAGTCCTTTAAAAAAATAAAGAAAAAGAGATAGTAAAGACAGCACTGGCATATCTGTCATCACATGGGCTAAAGTTTTTAGCAGAAGAGTTTGCTATATAATTTAGTACATCTTTTCTACTAATCTGTAAGAGAGGTTTAAAATAGGCCACACTCTGGGTTGTTTTGTTTTTTTTTTTTTTTTTCAAACCAACCCCACCATAATTGTATCAAATTATGTGAAAAGAAAGTAATAAACCCACCAAGTACATATTTTCGTTGTAATGCAAATATTTAAGAAAGATGAAACGCCTGCTAAAGACCCTAAACTTTCAGCTACTCATACCCTCAAGTTCTCACCTGCAAGTCTTTCTTCAGTTTTAGTAAATCTTCATTTTCTGCATTCCCGGATAAGGCAGCCTCAACTTGCTGAAGCTGAGCTTTGTAGCTCGCTAGCTGCTTAGCAAGGTCTTCTGACATCTGCAAGAAACACACACACACACCCCACATCAAAACAGCCGGCTTGCTCCTTTTTAATCACGCCTGCTGGTGCGAGTAAAGTGAAATCGATAATCAAACGACACGAAAAGCAATTGCTAAGATATTAAAAATACAAGTCCCTGGGTTTCAGCAACATGCTACTTGACTACAGGCAGCATTCACCTTCAATTTTGTGCCGTTCAGCTACTCCCAAGCGATTTCTAAAAAAGAAAGCTTAAACACGACCTGCCCGGGTGCGTGCCCAGGGAAAACGCCTAACGTACAGCGGGTAAGCAGCGGGGCCTTTAGGCCGCCTCGGAACCCTCAGGAGGTGGCCGCGCACCGTGTTCCCCCGCGGGTG